CAACCATTCCACAACCATGTCGATTCTACAATTGATGATTGGGAAATGGAAGCACGACCGTGATTCTGACGATGATGACCTGATAGAGGTACTGATGCAAGGTATGGGGCTCCCCTTGGCAGTGGCTAGAATTACTGCATGCTCAAGTCCGGTTATAAATATATCGCAGAACGGGGACGTTTACTGCATACAATTTGATATTGAAAAGCAGTCTTTCGTGGCGACTTTTAAAATCGGGCAACCTTTTGATGAAATGACGAACCCGATGGGTAAAAAGAGAAAATCTTTGACGTATATTGACGACGAAGGGAGATTAGTTATGAAAGCCGTGGACCCGAAGGATACGTTTATTTCCATATGGAATGTCCAGGGTGACGAACTTACAACAACTCTTGTTGACGATGACGAAAAGGCGGTACGATATTATCACCGTGTTTAGAATGATTGTGACGAAGAAACACGGCAGCATACAATTGTTGCGGACGTGTTGTTATTTGGCGAATAATATGAAGAAGACGTGAATTTACGTGTTTCAAACCGTTATATGAACGAACTGGCCATCTTTCTGTTGCTATTGACTTTATTTTACACGTCCAAAAGAGTTTTAGTGAACAGTGAATCTTCTTGTCAAAGACCACCTGTTCAGACATCGATTCGTGTGTGTGGCAATATCTGACGTAGATGTTTGTCATATGGCAATTCTGTCTTAGTATGAATAATGCATTTTCTAGGCAGCCTGTTATCACTAATATCATTTTCAAAGTGGTATTTCTATTTCCGTTTCTACTGCTATCTGAGGTTTCATAAATTGCATATACGTGCAAAACTAATTTTCATCAATTATTTCAAATGTATTAATTTTCTCGCTTTGTTTTAATTTCGATAATTATGTCTGCATTATAAATTAGTGTAGCTTTAAATGGTACACTAGTTCCCAGCAAGCTGACATGACTGGTCGTCATCGTTCATAGTGTCATTGCCATGTTCATTTTAACAATGACGCACAATGGAAGATAAAAATAGATTATTTCACCCTAATTGAAAGATTTGGAATTAATGAGTATGTATTATTATTATTATTTGTATAAATTAAAATAAGAAGAACATAAACCTAGTTTAGTTTAGTGTGACAGATCGGAATTTCTCGCGTATTCTAAGTTGCAATACACTAGCCAATAACATGCCAAAGACTCATTATATTCTCAACGTTGAACCAATCATAGACACTCCAGTTAACATTATTGAT